GCAGCAGCAGCAGCAGCAGCAGCAGCAGCAGCAGCAGCAGCAGCAGCGGCAGCAGCAGCAGCAGCAGCAATGTTGCAGTATTGGTGTTTGTTTGTGTGTGTGTCTCTCGTGTGCAGAGATCGTCGCCCGAAAGCCTGGGGGTCTCTTCCATGCCACCGTTGTTGCTGCTTCATAGAGCAGCAGCAGCAGCAGCAGCAGCAGCAGCAGCAGCAGCAACAGCAGCAGCAGCAGCAGCAGCGAGTGCTGCTGCAGCAGTTGGGTTTGCATGCGTTGCCTGTTAGCTTTCGCTGCAACTCTTGAGGTGTCTATACACCCCATCAAACTCTTAACTTTTCTTGCCTGGTCTATGTATCCTGCAGCAGCACAGTTGCTGCTGTTGCTGCTGCTGCTGACACACACAACTGCTGCTGCTGCTGCTGCTGCAGCAGCAGCAGCAGCAGCAGTTGTGTGTCTGTACACTGTGTAAATTCTACTACTGACACGGCTGCTGCAGCAGCAGGTTCACCGCGATAAAGGCCTTAAGGGAATAAATAGTCAATGAAGCAGCTAGCGCTACCACTGCAGCAGCAGCAGCAGCAGCAGCAGCAGCAGCAGCACCTGCTGCTGCTGCTGCTGCTGCACCTGCTGCGAACACAGCAACATTTTCTGCTGCTGCACCTGCTGCAATTTCAGCAGCAGCTGCTGCTGCACCTGCTGCGATTACTGAAGCAGCTGCTGCTGCTGCACCTGCTGCGCTTACCGCAGCAGCTGCTGCTGCGCCTGCTGCTGCAGCTGCATACTCTGCTGCTGCTGCAGCTGCTGCTGCTGCTGCTGCTGCAGGCCTTTGATATAACCCTTTAAAACTGTCTCCTTAGGGCGGCTACATACACACATATATAAGCAGCAGCACCTGTACACTACTACTACTACTACTGCTGCTGCTGCTGCTGCTGCTGTTGCTGCTGCTGCTGCTGCTGCTGCTGCTGCTGCAGCTAGTTTGTGTTGTTAGAGGAGTTGCGGCGGGTGAAGTCTGACATCTTCTTGTTTAGGGGGGTGTGCTCGTGCTTCTCGGGCAGCTTCTCAGCAACGAGAGACTCAGCGCTGCAGCAGCAGCAGCAGCAAC